GTTGTCTTGAAGGAGGTTCCAGTGGGAGGCCCCGTGGAGTGTGGAGTGGAGGAGACTGGGGCCGTGGTTGCGGAGTGCGTTGAGGATTTCCCGGTTGGTGGCCACTCCATGGTCGTCGGTGTTCCTGCGTGGCCTGTTTCCTGGCTGGTGTATGTCGTGGTCAGGCGAGGGTTGCTGGCTTGAGTTGGGTGCATTTCTGTGATCTGTGGTGTCCGGGTGGTCGTTGTGCCTCGTGATGCCTGGTAGGTGGAGTCTGTGTGCGGGTGGATAACTGTCATTCTCATTTCCCCTTCTTGTCCCTAGGCTGTCTCCCGTCACTGTCATGGCTTGTGTTGCTCTGAGCTTCCTACCATTTGTCCTTTCCTATTGGGACCTGCTCTGGCCATTCTAGGTCCTGAGTGTCTTTTCTCAGTCTCCCAGAACCTCCTGCCCGTGCCGCGCCCGCTTTCCTCTGTGCCCCTGTCGCTGGTGCCTGTGGTTGGCCACCCCTTCTGTCTGTGGCATGCAGCACTGCCCTGCCCCGTGTTCTCGTGTGCGCACGTGTGTGAATGTGTGTGTGTGTGTGTCTGTGCGCGCGCCTTCTCCTTCCGCTTGTGCTGGTGTTGCTGCGTGGTATGCAAGTTACAGGGTCTCCACTCTGGCTCCTGCTCTCGGCAAGGCCTCGTGGTGGCCCTGTGCCTGGGCTGCCCTGACACCCTGTGGCCATGACTTACCCGGACTTGAGCTGGTCTCTGACATTGACGCAGTTTTTCGTGTCACTGTCGTCTGGGCTGTGGGCTGATCTGTGGACTGCGTGGCTGGACTTGGAGAGGATGCTGTGGGATGGTTTGTGCCCTGAGTCACTGTGGGTCTTTTGGCTGTGCTGGCTGGCGCTGGTGTGATGTGTGTGGTGACAGCCATGGTGGTTGTAGGAGATTCTGCAGAGGACAACCCCCGGGCCCTGAAGCCTCGCAGCCCCCTGGGCTGGATGGGCTGGGGCTGTGGGCGAGGGGGTGGCTGGCCTGTGGCCCTCAGAGGGCAGCGTAGGCTCCTGGGGGGGCCTTCTACATGGCTGGCCTCTCTAGTTGAGACCCCGCTTCGTGCTCGGTGGCGGGTCCAGCAAGGGCCGTGGGCCATGGTGGGCCAGGCTGGGCGTCGGCTGGTGCCGAGCCATGCCTGTCCTTGTCCTCTGACTTATGTGTCAGACCCGGGGACAGTACAGGGCTCCTGACCCCTCCCCACCACCACCCAGCAGATATTGAGTCTGGGCTGCCCTGGGCTGTCCCGTGGAGCAGGGAGGAGCGCAGAAAAGGAGCCTGCGTCACCCTGGCACCTAGTGTGCATGCGGTCACCTGTGGTGGGCGGCTGCGTCGCGGTGGGCGGCTGCGGCGTGGTGGGCGGCGCTGCAAAAGGAAGAGTGGTCGGTCAGCCGGCTGCTGACCACGCAGCCCTCCCACCCCTGGGGCCTGAGCCGGAGAGGCTTACCGCAGGCAGGGCTGGAGGGTGGAGCCCACCAGCAGATAGGTGCCCAGCCCCTGCCCTTCGAGGAGGGTCCCACTGTGCACCCCATTCAGCCCGGCAGGCCTGGGGCGTAGGGGCTGGGGGCGGGCAGTTGAGGCGGGAGTTGGGAGGCCCTGTGTGGGTTCACTGCTGTGTTTTCTCTGTCTCTGCTGTGATGGGCTCTGGGAGCCTCGGCACCCAACGGGGGAGCCCAGCTGCTGAGGGTGCCCGGGCTATCCAGAGGTTTATGCAGGGGCTCGGAGCGCCTGTCTGTTGGGGGCGGATGTGCTTCTGCCTGCGTGAGGGCATGCAGCCCAGGCTGCCTTGGAGGGCCTGGCAGTGCCAGCTGACCGGACTTACCACAGGGCAGACACGCCCCTTCCTCGTGGTCGAAGTACTCGTCCTGGGAGCAATTGTAGCAGCCTGGGATGGGGAACAGCCAGGCTCAGATTGCTGGAGCTCCCAGGCCCGGTCTCGCCCATGACACCTTGTGCCAGGCTCCTTGGCCACAGCAGCCATCACGGGCCTCCCTTCCCAGCCAAGCCCTGCTCTGGCCTCGGTCCCCATCCTTGTCTGTCCGCTCCTCTGCCCTGGGCCTGATGCGGGACCCTCATTTGCGTCACCCTCATCTGTGTCCTCTGCAGGCCGGCTCAGACACACTCCCAACCCCAGGCGCACGCGCCACCCTCTGCAAACACTGCTGGCTGCAACGCTGGCCCTCCTGGCCTCTCCCAAGGCCTCCCCAGGCCATTGTGTGGCCAGCTCACAGCCTCCCTGCGCCTGTCCTGGCCCCCCCACCTCACCACCACCCCGCCTGGTAAACTAGGGCACCTGCTTCAGAGCGGGGCCGCACCGTGGGCCTCACGAGGGTCCCACTGTCCAACCGTCCCCTCCATCCCTCCATCCCCCGCCTCCCCACACCCCGCGCGTCTGCAACCATGGCTCCAGCTTCCTGAAGTTCCCGGGCATGAGGCCCACTCCTGCCTCAGGGCCTTGGCCTGGCTCTTCCTGCCTGGACACCTCCCACCTCCTGCCTCACCCCGTGAGCCCTTGCCCAAGCGTCTGCCTCTGCCGAGGCTGCCCCGCCTGCCCGGCGTGCCACAGAAGCCCCTCGCTCTCCGCATGCCTGCTGCCTGGTTTTCCTCCAGGCTTGCACAACGCCTGGTGCTGCTTCCTCCTCCTGCATTGTCTTTTCAAGCCTCTGTCCCTGTTTGTTTTGTGTGAGGCCATGTCCCCGACCCGGAACCAGGCCCGGAGCACAGGTGCTCAGGACACATCTGCTGAGTGCGTGAATGCGTGTGTATGAGTGTCGGATGAACACGCATGTGAGTGCGTGAATGCGTGTGTATGAGTGTTGGATGAACGCACGCGTGAGTGCATGAATGCGTGTGTATGAGTGTCAGATGAATGCACGTGTGCATCAATGCGTCTGTATGAGTGTCGGATGAACGCACGTGTGAGTGCGTGAATGCGCGTGTATGAGTGTCGGATGAACGCACGCGTGAGTGCGTGAATGCGCGTGTATGAGTGTTGGATGAACGCACGTGTGAGTGCATGAATGTGTGTGTGTGAGTGTTGGATGAATGCACGTATGTGTGCATCAATGCGCATGTATGAGTGTCGGAGGAACGCACATGTGAGTGCGTGAATGCGTGTGTGTGAATGTGTATGTGTTGAATGAATATGCGGGTGTATAAATGCGTGTGAATGAATGTTAAATGAACAAATGTGTGTGTGGATGGATGAGCCCCCTTGTGCTCCTGCGCCTGGTACCTTCGATGTTGGTGACCGAGAGGCTGTCTGGCCGGCCGGGGCAGAGGCAGGGCTGGTAGTGCCACGTGCAGTTGGCTTTTGGCGTGTACTGGTATTCGCCACTGCTGCCCACCTGCGTGTGCGTGTTGTAGTAGTCGCAGTAGATAGCTGGGAGGAAGGGCGCCTGGCATCAGTGGGGGGCCCTGGCCGTGACCCAGGCCTCAGTGGAGGCCACTGGGCCACGCGCAGAGGGACCTGAATGTGGACGTGGACGGCTTGTTCTCTTGGCAGGGCTCCCTCCCGGGCCGAGTGCAGGCCCCAGGCAGCCCTGCAGGGACACAGTGCCCACCGGGGAGAGGGGCGGGAGCAGCCACTCACGGCAGAAGGTGGGGGTCCTCCAGTCCACGCAGACGCCCTTGTCCAGGCAGGCTTTGGCATAGGCGGCCACAGCGTCGCACAGACACTCGCAGTCCCCGCCCGTGTCGCAGGCGCACGTGTCGCGCACACAGGCCTCATAGTAGGGCATGTGGTACACCTGTGGGAGTGGGCGCATGTGGAATCCCTGCCGAGGCTGCTGCTCCGGCCTCGAGGCCCCAGAGGGGCCGGGGCCTGCTAACTTCGCCGCAGCTGCTTGCTGGCCCCCGTGCACACCCTGTGCTCACGCGCATAGCCTCTGTGGGCCCAGGCCACGCGGCCCCTTTGCACTAGCTGCTCCGGGTTGGGGCACCCTCTCCCTCCTCCCAGTCCTCACTCAACCCTGGGGCTGGGGCCGCGCCCCACGTGCGCTGATCTCGCATCCTGCAGTGCCTCCTCCCCAGCCACTCGCTTTGGTGCAGGGTCCTCTCCTGGCGATGCAGCCTCCGTGGGGACCCGTGGCTGCTAGAGCATCTCGTGGCGGGGCCGGGTGCAGCTATGCACCCCACAGTGCGCAGGGCGGCTCGCGCCAGACCACGGCGGGGGGTCCTGCTTTGCAGCAGTGGGTCTGACCTCTCCACCACCTGGTCCCTGGCCCGTTTGTGACCCCGCAGTGGGAGATCCTCGTCTGGCCTCCCCACTTGGGCTGGGACAGGGCCTGGCCCTGCTGGCGTCCACACAGGGGGCCCACGGATGTGGTCCCCGTGCCGTCGGGGCCCACCTTGCTGTGGCAGGCCGCAAAGGTCTGGCTGTTGATGAGGCTGCACTTGCGCTCGGCCCAGGAGCGGCGGAAGGCGTTGAGGCTGCAGGGCTCCACCAGGAAGCTCACATCCCCGCACAGGGGACTCTCTTTCCACGAGTTCACGAACTCCAGCTCGCTGGAGGCCACGTACTGGCTGCGCGTCTCAAAGTCGTCTTTCATGTTCCCGTTGTAGTTGCCACACAAGCCACAGAGGGCGTCCTATGGGCGGTGGTGGCGGCATCAGGCAGGGAGCCGGCTGGCTCTGGGCATCTGCCCCACCCGAGACCAGCCTGGGGCGGCGGGTGGGGTGCCAGCGGGTCTCCAGCGGTACCTGGGAGGCGCGGTGGAGCTTAATGAAGACGGTCATGTGCTTGTTCCAGACAAGCGTCAGATTGTATCTTCCCGGTACACCGATGTCCAGAACGAGGTGCAGGGCGTCCGGCTGCACGCGGAGGTGCACGTGGGGGTTGTCCCCCGTGACCGTGTAGTTGCTGTCCGCCAGCACGATGGACAGGCCCTGTGGAGTGGGGCTGTCACAGGGCTGCCTGCCTGTCACCCCCAGTCCCCTGGGCCACAGGCTGAGCTCTCCGACCAGGCCCATGCAGGACAGGTGCAGGCCACCTGCTGAGAGCCGGCTCTAGGCAGAGGGTTCTGGTGTGTGTGGAGACGGCTGAGGGCGTCAGTTCGGGCTTCCCAGGGCCCGCCCCCCCGCCGGGAGACCCTGGGGCGGGTCCAGCAGCCACAGGTCCTGGGCACCCAGTCAGGGAGCGTGGCTGTGTCCCTGTCCCATGCTCTGTCGTGTGGCGCAGAGGGGCCGGGGGGAGAGTGCAGGTCCAGCACGTGGCAGGGGCCCCACCGCCCCTCCTGCCCGACAGGCTCTGCCCCACCCGCTCACCCCCAGGAAGATCTTGATGGCCCGGGAGCACGTGACCCCTGACCTCCCGCAGATGACGTTCTCCGTCAGGATCTTGAAGGTGGGCTGTGAGGCGTTGGCGCCACAGCCGTCCTGCAGGGAGGGGGTGCTGAGGAGGAGCCCTGGGGCTGCCCTCTTGGTCCTTGGCTCCCCGCACCCCCGACGGTTACCGTGGACAGGATGTACTCGCAGTTGCCGTCGAACACAAAGCGCTGGCCATCGAAGGTGACCACGTGGCCCTCCCCGTAGAGGGCACAGGTGGATGGGCAGTGGGCGCTGTCCTGGCACGTCCACTTTCCCCTCGAGCAGGTGCTGGGGGACGGTGGGTGTGTTGGGGGCCCGCAGCCCTCCCTCCACACTGGGTGTTGTCCCTGGGGTTCCTGGAGGCCAGGCTCTTGCTCCAGGGCACCCCCAGCTCCATGGCACCCCCACTTCCAGGGCACCCCACCTCCAGGGCCCCCCCTTCCAGGGCACCACTTCCAGGGCCTCCAGGGCCCCCCCTTCCAGGGTGCCACTTCCAGGGCACCCCACCTCCAGGGCCGCCACTTCCAGGGCACCCCACCTCCAGGGCCCCCCCTTCCAGGGCACCACTTCCAGGGGACCCCACCTCCAGGGCCCCCCCTTCCAGGGCACCACTTCCAGGGGACCCCACCTCCAGGGCCCCCCCTTCCAGGGTGCCACTTCCAGGGCACCCCACCTCCAGGGCCCCATCTCCAGGGCACCCCACCTTCAGGGCATCCCCATCTCCAGGGCACCCCACTTCGGCACCCCCACTTCCAGGGCATCCCACTTCAGGGCACCCCCACCTCCAGGGCGCCCCAGGGCACCTCACCTCAGCACCCTCACTTCCAGGGCACCCCTGCCTCGTGGCATGCCCACCTCAGGGCACCCCCACTTCCAGGCTTTGAGGTGCCCGCCTGCCCAGATGGCCCCACAGTTGGCTCAGGGGCTCCAGGCTGAGGCTCTGGCTCACCAGGTCCTGCAGTCAGCGTGGAGCTCAGCGCCCCCAGGGTAGGAGACCCCCGCGAACTCGCACGGGCACTCCTCAGGGGGCACACACTGCCCGTCCGCGTTCTCGTAGAGCCCCTCGGCACAGACGCAGCCGGGCTCGCACTTCGTCGGCACCTGCAGGGAGGGCGGCGTCAGCTGCCACTGCCCCCAGTCCCGGGCCCTTCCGAGACCCCCGGCGTCTCCCCCAGGCCCTCCCCCAACCCAGCCCTGCGGGTCTGTGGCAGCCGGGCCTCCCCCTCTCCAGAGCCTCCCCTCAACCCCGTCCTCACGGAGCCCCGCGGATGACATGCGGCCGCCAGCTGCCCGGCCACGGGGCGGCTCCTGACCCGGCCCCCACCAGGCGCAGCCCAGGGCCAGAGCAGGCGCCATAGCACCGCATGGCCGTAGCTCCCAGAGGGTTGTGTGGCCTGGCGAGGGTCTGGGCGTGTCCCCGCTCCTCGCGCCCCCTTACGCAGGCGACACCGGTGGCCAGCATCTGGCACGTGGGGGCACACGCTGCTCCGAACTCGTTCTCTGAGGACTGGCCGCAGGACTCGAACGTCTTGGGGGCCGAGCAGGCAGCTGCGGGAAGAGGGGCTGCGAGTCAGGAGGGCTCAGAGGAGGCCACGGGCACTCCGTGGTCCCAGGTCTGCCGGCCTGTGCCGCTGCTGTACCTACCCGAGAACAGCTGGGACCGCCCAGGGCAGCTCAGCCGCCCGTTGATGCAGAGGCTGCAAGAGAGAGGTTGCGTGAGCCCCGGCCCGCGGCAGGGCCCCGCCCACCCCCTCGCCTGCTCCTCACCAGACGGCGCCGTTGACCACGGTGGACTGCTCTGCCAGGACCAGCTTGCCGCTCTCCAGGCAGGGGCACTGGGCCCTGCGCACACACTCGCCTCTGTGGTCCAGATAGGTGCCCTCGGGGCAGTTGCAGCCGTCCACAGGCACTGCGCTTGGGTGGCACTCGGCCGCGCGGTCCGACAGGGATAGGCAGGTGTGGCCGCAGGCTCGGCTGTCGTAGCTGAATGTGCGGTTGCCGGAGCAAGGAACAGCTGTGGGGGACCCGGGTGTCAGGCCACTGGCGGGGGGCCAGGGAGGGGCTGCGCTGCCCATCAGACAGTGGGACAGCCGCTGAGCTTGGGGCCCTTGCCCTGGTGACCCCGTGACCCTGCCTGTGCCCCACCGGCACTCACTGCAGTTGTCCACGCTGCTCCTCCAGCCCCAGAGCAGGACACCCCGCGAGGAGCACGCGTGGGCGTAGCTGCCGAGCGCGGCGCAGATGTGGGGGAAGGTCTCCTCGTAGTTGCAGGCCTGGTACACGCACCTCTGTGGCAGAGCACTGGCTGTGGGCTGGCCGAGGGGCAGCCGCCTCCCCTGGGGGCACGGGAGCCCCGAACCTTCCGCCCGGGCCTGGGCGCCCGAGACGTGTCGGCTTCCCCGGCTCCCCTGCAGCCCTCCCCGGACCCCCTCAGGCCCCACCTTGTAGAAGGGCGTGGGGTTCACCACGGCGTGGCACCTCTCGAACACCGTGCCCTTCCTCAGCAGCACCGAGCAGTGGGTCTCCGCACACACCTCTGGGGATGAGAGTCCCGGCTGTCGCGTCCCTTCCCACGCCAGCCGCACCCCTCCCGGGGCCCCCACCCCGTGCCGGGGCCTGGCACTCACTGTTGAGCTGGCTCATGGAGCAGGGGTCAGTCTCTCGCTCCAGCGCGGCCGGACAGTTCCCCGCCCTCCAGGAGTCCACGAAGAGTGAGGCGGTGCCCTCGGCGATGCCCACGCTGGCCATGAAGTCGTCAGTTGTGTCCCCATTGAAGTTGCCGCAGAGCCCTGGGCCAGCCGGGCCGTGAGGGTGGCCCGAGCCCCGCCTGCCCCCAGCGCCCCGAAGCTCCTGTCCTCTCTCGGGCCACACGCGCCGTATCTTATCCCCGGGGGCTCCCTGGACGTGGCGGGGCCACACGAGCCTCTCCTGGGCCCTTTCTCCTGCCCTGGTCGTGGCCGGGCCCAGTGGGGACGAGGCAGCCAGGCCCACCCTGGGGCTGAGGGGCGGGGCCGGGCTCACCTCTGGTCTGGCCTCTGAATTGGGGCCCGACGGTGACGTACACCTGGAAGATGGGCTGCAGCTGGACCACGAGCTCCAGCCCGAAGGTGGTGGCCACCTGGAGGTGGGTGGACGTCTGCCTGAAGACCGTGATGTTGCCTGCGTGGACAGGGCTCTCAGCAGGCCGCCTGCCCCTCACCCCGCTGCCGCCCACCCCGAGGGCCGGCTGGGGACGTACGGGTCTTGTATGGCAGCCACTTGGCGTCTCCGTTGTTGGTGATCAGCTCGTCCTGAGAGATCACGATCTTGTCCTGGAAGAGGGTGGCTTGGGTCAGGGCCAGGGGTGGCGGAGGCGGGGCCCTGCGGGCGGGAACCTCACCTGCCCAGTCAGGTAGATGACAGCGACCAGGGAGGTCTCCGAGTGCGAGTACCCGGACTTGTCGTACACGGCCAGGAGGGTGCCCTCGTCGGGGAGCCGGGGGCTCTGGGGAGGGAGGGGCAGCTCAGGCACCGAGGGGCGAGGGAGCCCGCTCCCCACCGGCCTCGGAGCTCGGCCCACCTGGAGGAGGATGTAGGTGCAGGTGCCATGGAAGCGGTAGGGCCTGGCGTCGAACGTGGTGACGAAGGAGCCGCCTTCCAGCGAGCAGTGGCCGGGGCACGGCCGCTCCGTGCATGTCCAGCGGCCCGAGGTGCAGCGGCTGCAGGGATGGGGGTGACCCTGTGGGTGGGCAGGGCTGCCAGGGCCGGAGCGCCCCTCCCGCCACCGCGCTCCTGCCTGCAGGGCCGAGGCCCCCCACTCACCAGGTTCGGCAGGCGGTGGTGGTGACCTCCCCGGGGGCGTAGAGAGCCCCGTTGAGCAGGCAGGGGCACTGAGCGACTGGCACGCAGGTGTCGTTTTGGGAGAGGTCGTTGAGGACCGTACCTGTGGGAGAGGGGCTTCCTGGGCTCCATGGGACTGGCCTCCCGGGCGCTGTTGGGCAGCCCCCTCGCTCTGGGGAGACGTCCGCTTGGGCCTGCGGCGGAACTCACTGCGGCTCCCGCTTGTGCGTGCAGCTGCCGCGACGCTCCCTGTGCGCTCACCTCCGCGCGCCAAGAGCCCAGACCCGGCTGCCGTCCGGGGCGTGGCAGCCCGCACAGGTGTCATGGACACTTCACTGTCCCTCAGGCCCAGCTCAAAACCCACCTCTTTCTGGCCGCTCTGGGACCCCCGTGGGCACCGCCTCACTCTCCCGTGGGGTCTTGTGCTTGGCCGCGGGCCTGGGACAGCCGCAGGCCTGAGCGTTTGGGTGGGGCCCGGCAGCAGAGTCCGGGGCGAGCCAGTAGGGGTGAGGGGGTGCTGGTGGCCGCCTCACCTTCCGGGCAGAAGCAGCCAAAGGCACAGAAGCCGGAGCAGTGGTGCTGCGGGTTGGAGCAGGTCCTGGCGCAGGCCGCACCGCACTCCTGGTACACCTGGTTGGCCGGGCACGGGCCCAGGGCTGCGGGCACAGGCGGCTCCAGTGAGAGGGGCCCCGCCCATCTGCCACCCGCAGGCACCAGATCTCCTGTCTCGTGGACAAGAGGGCACGTGGGGCACTGCTTCGGGGGGAGGCCTGGGCCCCCAGCTTCTCGACACCCTCCCGCTCCCGTCCCGAGACTCACAGCAGAGGCCGGGGCCCCGCCAGCGGCTGACGGGCTGGCCAGCCATGCTGCAGCGGCGGGAGTACTCGGACAGCGTGGCGCAGCTGCCGTTCTGGGCCGCCGCGGCCATGTCCGCCTGGCAGGTCCGCACGAACGGCTCCTTGGGCACGTCGCACTCAGGGGACACCAGGGCCAGCAGTTGGCTGCAGATCCCGGCCTGGCAGAGGACCAGTCAGGGTCACGGGGTCAGGGTGCCACGCACTGTGACTCGCGGGGGCGTCTGTGGTCGTGGGGCCCTGGTGGCCTCAGACCCTGTCAGACTCTTCAGTCGGCCCCACGGTGGCCCCCCGGGCAGCCCGGCCACCTCACGTACGAGCTCCGCCTGCGGGACGGGGGGCCTGGGGACGGCCTCGTAGGTGCAGATCTCGCCCGGGTCGTCCATCCTCTGCAGGGCTGCGTACTCGTGGGGTTCCAGGAGTTTGCCTGGGGACACAGGACGGGGCTGGGTGGTACTGGGGGCCTGGCCACAGCGGGCCCCGCGCCCCCCGCCTGCCCGCCCCACCTACCCTCCTCGCTCAGGAACTCGTCGGTGGCATTCCCATTGAAGTCCCCGCACAGCCCACACAGCTGGCCCCCGTGCTTTCTTTCCACCAGGACCTGCGCAGAGCACGCTGCTGGGAGTCCGGCGGGCTCCCCGTGCCCACCGGGGCCGCTCGCTCCGGCTGCAGGGCCCGGAGCGCCCGCCGCCCACCACCCTCCTTGGCAACCTGCGTTGCTTGGTGCATCTGCAGGTGCAGAAACCGAGTCCCCGGCAGGGCCCGGGCAGGCCCGGCCCGGCACTGAGCTCAGGTGTACCGCCAGTGAGGCCGTGGTAGGGCCAAGGGCGGGCGGGGACCCCCAGGGAGGGCAGCCCCTCTGCAGCCTGCCCGCCCCTGTTTGGGGCCGTCCTCACCATGAGGTGGGCGTCGGGGCCCCACACGACCTCCAGCTCTAGCTCCAGCTGCTTGGCCACCAGTCGCACGCTCTGGCCGAAGGGCGCGATCTGCAGCCCGTTGCTGGTGTGGGGCAGGCTGACGGCTCTGCGGGTGAGGGCGGTGAGTGGCAGCCCCGCGGCCCCCCGCGGCCCCCGCTGCCCACGCCCGCCAGCCTACCCGACGTCCTTGACTGAGATGGCCGCCTCGCTCACGGTGACCACAGAGGCCCCCAGCTCCACGATGATCCGGGAGACGTTCCCGTCCGGCCCTCGCCGCAGCTGGACGCTGAAGGTGGGGGAGGCGTCCTTGCAGGTGGCCGCGAAGACGTAGTTGCACGTCCCCGAGAAGTCGTACACGTGGTGGTCGAAGGTGGAGAAGTGGCTGGCGCCCCACGTGGAGCACCAGCCCCTGTCCGGGTCTGTGGAGAGCAGCGCAGACTTGGGGCTTGTGTCCCTGCTGGCCGGCAGGCGGGCCGGGACCCGGGAGCGCGTGATGGGAGAGGCCCAGCCCCCACGCCCTCCTGGTGCTGGGCTGGGGTCTGCCTCCCACCTGGCGCTAGGGCAGCGCGGGCCACCTCCCCGTCGAGGCCTGTGGCATCACCGGCCCCAGGGCTGTAGGACGTGACGCTCTGGCCCAGCCTCCCCCACCCCAGCGGGGGTCCTGCGACCCTCTTGCAGGGCTGGGCCAGGCCGGAGGTCACTCGTCTCCCTGCGCAGCGGCCCTTGGTGCCCAGCCGGGCTATGGCTCTTCCCTAGTGGGACCCCTGTGGTGGAAACCGCAGCGCATGGATGCCCAGGCACCAAGGCAGTTGTGCACATGCATGTGCGTGTGTGTGTGCGTGCATGTGCGTGCCTGGGACCTGCACCCCTCCCTCGTGCGCGCTGGACCCGGGTACTCAGGGCAGGTGGCTGGTGATGGCCCTCACCTATCTGTGGAGAGTCCTCCAGCCTCCAGGGGCCCGGGCTGGCGGAGGAGGCATCATCCAGACCTGTGTGGGCGGGATGTGGTCAGTTGTCTTTGGCGGCTCCACCCGCCCTCGGAGCCCTGCCTGGGGAACACCGCGCTCGGCCCGGGGGAAGTGTGCAAGGCCCTCATGACGCCAAGCTCTGAGCCAGGGCTCAGGGTGTTAGCGGTGGGCAAAGCGGTCAGCCTCTTGTGTCATTTTTCAGAGCTCTGGCGTCTATGTTCTCATTCAGGTCCTCATTCATTCAAGCACAGTCCTGTGCCCGTCATCCAGACAGGTGCTGGAGGCACACAGGGAAGGACCCGCTCCCAGGGCCCACGCCAGGAAGGCAAAGTGGTGGTGGGCAGGCTGCCTCGCACAGGGTGGGGCTGCGCCGAGGAGGACGGGGGGGCCTTTGGGCAGGGCCAGGGGAGGGGCAGGGGGGCTCTCCGGCCACAGCCCAGGCAGGCGGGAGGGGGCCCAGCTGAGGGGCCCGGGGAGGCAGAGGCTGGAGTGTGGCCGGTGCTGGGCCTCGAGCAGGGCGGCTCCCTGCGCCCTGGCCTGCTTGCCCATTTGCCGGGCTCTGGTCGCCCACTCCTCTCTGGACGTGCCAGGCCCCTGGGGTTCAACAAAGAGAACCCCAAATGCGGGACACTCAGCCCGTGGCCAGATGCGGGTGTGGGGGGCTGGGTGGTGCAGGTGCGGGAGGGTCGAGGGCTGAGCCCACAGGTCTGGGCTGCCCTCTGTCCCCAGCTGGGCCCCTAGTCTCCCTGCTGGGTCCGCTCCCTGTGGCCACTGTCTGCTCCTTTCCTGCGTGGCAACCTCGAGAGAGCCTTGTGGTCAGCCCGGGACCACGGGGGCCGTTCCAGGGACGTGCTGGGGGGCCTGGGTCACGGTGACTGCCGGGTGGTGCCTCCTCCTCACCCCACTTCTCCCATCTCCCCACCCTGACCACCGCCCCCTGCAGCACCCATGGGCCACGGTGCTGAGCACGGGGCGGGGGGAGGCCGGTGACCAGGTCCTGTGGTCTCTCCAGACCCCTCTTGGGCCTTGCCCCTCTTGCTGGCTCTGCGTGGTGAGCCCCTCAAGACACACGCAGAGGGGCTCATTCCTGCCCACATCCCACTGGCCGAGGGCCTGTTGGCTGAGGGGTTGTGCTGCTGCGGGCGAGGGACGTAGCCCAGCTCTCAGCCCCTCGTCCACCTGGGCGAGTCCTCTCTGGCACGGGGCAGGAGCTCGTGGTGTTCGAGTGACTGGGATTACGAAGCCTGGTGGCCATGGCCACGTGAGGACATATTTGGCTGTGGTCCCCTTTGACCTTGAGATCACTTTCTGCTCAGCTGCACCCGGCTTATACCCATCCCCCTCCTCAGGGTCCCAGCAGGTTGCGCGGCCCCCAGCCGCGGGCCTTTCCTCGCGGGGCTGGTCCGTGGGGGAGTGCCCAGCGTGCAGAGCTCTCAGTGGGGCCTCGTGGCTCCTGGGTCAGTGTGCCATGTCTGGGCTCTGGCCAGTCTCCCTCAGGGCAGACGCTCTCTGACTCAGTTTCCCCCCCTTTCGGACGGGGTGTTGTGCACACCGCAGGCCGTGTTGCGTCCCTGATCTAGGCATTCGTGTCCGGCTCCACTGTCCCCCAGGAGCAGTTGCCACTCCACAGTGCCCCAGTGGGGCCCCCTGTCCCCCGAGTCCCTCCTCATCCTCCAGGGACAGACTCACGTGTCCGGCTGCCTCCGGCTGTGTCTGGACAAGGACCCCCAAAGCAGGAGGCTGATCACGCTGTTGCCCCTCCTGCCCAGGACTGGCCGTGCTTGCTATTGACTGACCCTTGGCCCGGCCCACAGGCCTCCGGGGTGGGCTTGTCCACGCCCCAGCCACTCTCAGCCACGGGCCTGGTGCACTCACTGTTCCTGCTGCCCGCTGGGCGGCCCCGCCCACCCCCGCCTGCCCTGCTCTGGGAAGCCCTGCTAGAGGCTCCTGCCGCCAACCGCGGCCCCAGGCCCCGAACTCCGGCTCTGGCTCTGCCTTGCCTGCCTGGGGACCCCGCCCTTCCCCCCGCCCTTCCCCCTGCCACTCATGCCAGGTGTGGGAGGCAGGGGGCGCCCACGCAGGGATGGGCTCACTGGGGGCTCCTGGCTGCTGAAGAGGGGTGGGGGCCCGGACTCAGGGTAAGAGTGAGGCGCAGGGAGCACGGAGGCCTGGACACGCAGCAGCCATGGCCACAGCCGGGGGACCCCTTGGGGCTGGCTCCTCCGGGGTCGGGGAGGCCAGTGCCTGGGCGGGCGGGCGGCAGCCAGCAGGGGCGCTGGGCCCTCCCAGTCCCGGACGGAGACCCGGGCCTTGGCTGTGTGAGCTGGTCACGGACCCGAGGACGGGCCTCCCGGGCCTGGCGCTTGCCTCCCGCTGCCCATGCATCGGTGCCCACGTGGGCCGGCCGAGGCGGCCAGGCGAGAAGGCCTGGGGACGTTCCCACGCGGAGGGGCCCTCGGAGGGCGCCGGGCGGTCCGGGCGCCCTGGGGTGTGGCCTGACGGGCCCCACTCACCAGCGCCGAGCAGGGCCCCCCCGCAGCACAGAAGCAGCAGCAGCCCAGGTGCAAGCATGGCGCCACCCGCGTGGAGAAGGCAGGCGCCACGGACACGGCGGGACACGGCCCCTGCCGCTGCTGGGCCCGGGCGGTTTTGCCACAGCCACCGGTGCAGCTAGGGCGGCCGGCCCCACACCCCTTAAATAGGGGCGGCAGGCCCTGCCCCTGCCGCGCCCGCCCGCGCCCCACGCGCCAGCCCTGTAATCACCGCCGCCGGCGGGCGCAGCGGCAGCCAAACAGGATCTCGGGCTGTGCGTTATCAGGACGTAGACTTCTGTGGAAAGTTCTGCAGCGGCTGCGGCCCCCATTATCGCCTGTTCCTGGGGGGCCGACACGCCCGCGAGGGTCCTGCCAACACCTCCCGAGTCTGGTCTGTCCTGCCGGCCCCCCCACCGCGGGTCGGCCGCACGCCTTGGCTGCCACGACGGGCCTGTCCCGGGCAGGCTGGGGCTGTGGCGCTAAGGTGCGGGGACAGCTCCTGGGTTCCAGGGCCCCCGAAGTGCACAGAGTGCTGGCCCCACCCTCTTCACCCCGAGTTCTCTGCCAGGGAGGAGGGACCACCCAGAAGGGACCCCGGCAGAGGGGCGGGGGCAACAGGTGCACGCGGGTCCCAGGACGGCTGCAGCTCCCTGCAGGCCTGAGACGCTGCCTGGGAATGTGCCGTGTCTCTGTGGACCCAGGTCCCCGCTGGCCAGCTCCTTCCTGAAGACTCCTCCTCAGCCTGGCCGCCTGGGAGAGGCGGGGCTGGGAGGACGCCCCCAGGGGCTGCTTTCCACCCCACGGCTCTGCGTGGCCCCGTCGGCCGCCTGCCTCCTCGAGCATCTCTAGAGGGACGTGGGTGCCTCCGTTCTTGTCCCCCCTCCAGGCAGAGGAGCAGGGTGGCGGCCCACAGCTGGCTGGAGGATGGAGCCCCTGCAGGCAGCCTCAGCAGGCAGGTGGCCTCAACTGGTGGGGTCCTGCCAGCGCCTCGAGGGCCCAGGGGCGGGGGTGGGGGTGCGGGCAGCTGGAGTCCTACGTGGGACCCTCTCTCAGCGGGGGCGTGGAGGCCTGGGCACGGGAGCCCCCCTCTCCCCGGGGCTCTGGCACAGCCCTTGGGAGTCAGGGCGGCGGGTCCCCTGCAGGAGCCCTGGGCCGGCTCTGGGCTGCCCCCACCACAGGTTTGGCGTCTGGCCCTCCTGCCGGAGCTCGGACCCAAGCCCCCGGTGTCCCCCAGGCGCAACAAGCCCTGCCGGCCTGCACGCAAGGGCTGCCCCCCACCCCAGGAGAGAACCCCGCAGGCACGTGTGACAAATGCAGTTGGTGTCATGTGTTTTGCCTTCAATAAACTTTAGTTCTAATAGGAAATTATTTTAAATGAAGAGACTTTAAGTCGTTTTGGTAGAAAATTCTCCAGGTGTGCTGCCGTCTGGGAGCCTGCGGGCCGGCGGGGCAGGTGGCCCCCTGGGCGCTTGAGCCGCTTCTGCGCGCAGCGTTTCTTCTCAGCGCTCTCAGCGGGCCCTGCTGTTTGGGGGAGAAACCGAGGCGTCGGAGTGAGGTCCCTTGCCCAGTCACGCCGGGGCCGGCAGCCGGGCTCGTCTGAGTGTCTGGGCTTTGCCGGGGCAGCAGGGCCCTTCCTGCACTCGGAGAGCTCGGGTCCTCGCGAGGGGTCCTGTGAGTGCGGGTGCAGGGCGGGGGTGGGCCGGCCCGCAGGCTTTGGGGTCTGGGCCCCAGGCTTCAACTTCCCGGCTGGGAGTGGTGGAGACCCCCCAAGAACAGCTGTGGCTGTGGTGCCCAGCGTCACCCTAGAGTTGGGGGACCCCTGCAGCTTGAGGGGTGCAGGTGTGGTCCTGGTGAGGACTGGATGCCCCCCTGGCCTGCGGTACAGACGCCCGTTGTGTGAGCACGCGTGTGCGCACGTCCGTCGTGGGCTCACGTGTGTGTGTGTGTGTGTGTGTGTGTGTGTGTGTGTGAGATCCGGTTTGCACTTCCTGTGAAAAGCTGCATTCCAGGACCTGTCGCCCCCGGCTCGGGCTGCCAGGGCTGCGCCCGCCCCACCTCCGCTGCGCTTGCTTGGCGGGAAGGCGCTGGAGAATGGCGTTTTGTCCCCTGACCCAGGAGCCCTGAACGTGCCGTGCAAACGGGAGATAAGCGCGTGAGGCCGCTGTTCCCGGAGCCACCGCGGAGATAAGAGCCGCGTCCCGCCGGCTGGCCCGGGAAAGCAGGATCCGAGGGCCGGCTAGTGGCCGTTGTCCAGTGTCACCCAGCTCAGACCCTGCCCGCCACGTCCGTCTCTGAGGCCGGCCCTGGACCGTGGTCACCCGGGGCCCAGGCCTGGCCGTGAGTTGGGCTCCAGAGTGAGCCCTGGCGGCTCGGACCCCAGCTTCCCGGCCAACCGTGAGGGTGGGTACTGTCCCTTAGGCCTGGCTCCCTGGACACCCACGAGCAGACTTTGGCTTGGGGTTGGGGGCCTGGAGGGGACGTTGGCATTCACCCCCGGCAGGTGCCTCCAGAAGGTTCCGGAACAGACTCGAGGCCTGGCTCCCATCATGGCAGGAAGCCCCAAACCCCTGGTTCGCTGGGACTCGCCGCTCACGGAGGTGCCCGAGTGGACCCGTGGGTGGCCCTCGGCCGGCCTCCTCCCTGTCCCTGCCTCCTGGGCCCCGCCTTGGCCACAGGTGACGTCCCTTGGGGGAGAACAGGTGAGGCTTCACCCCCTGAGGCTTGGCAGCCGATGGTATCAGATCAAAGGACTGAAACTGGCTGTGGGGGTGTTTGGGACGATTTCGACACCGGGCACGGGAACTCGCCGGGCCTGGACAGCGGCCATCTCGCATCGCGGGGCAGGCCCAGCCGGCGCGAGGACGCAGGGCCGAGGGGGTGTTTCGTGGCTTCCCACAGAGGGGCTGGGGGGCGGCCTATGCCGTCCCTTTGCCAGGGCCGGGAACCCCCTGCTCGGGGACACAGCAGAGACCACAAGACCCTCGGCATGGAGTGGCCGGAGTGAAATCCACACTGGGGGACGCGGCAGGAAGGGCGCCAGGCCTGGGGTGAGGGGTGCCTGCCCTCTTCAAGGCCCCGTGTGGCGGCAGTGGCGCCAGCCTGAGCGCTGCTCTCTGCGGCCCGAGTGTCGCAGGCGACGCCCTGCCGCGTGCGGCCCACACAGCCCGGGGCCCTGGGGAGCTACTGCCAATCTGTCACTCCTGGTCGCCCTTCCACAGGGGCCTGTAGCCCCCTCCCTTGGGCCATGTTCCTCCCTCCACGCCCGGGAGGCCCTGGCCCTGCGGCCTCTGTCCCCTCCCCGCCAGCCCCTGCTTCTCGGCTGGCCTTCGCAGCCCCCGCGCCGTGCTCTGGGGCTGTCCTGCGAAAGCAGCAACGCAGCCAGCAAGTGCGCGTCCCAGGCGAGGGGCCCGGACGGGGAGATGGACCTGGGGGTGCGGCGGCTGGGGATCCCGGCTCACTGGGCCCGGCCCCTCCTCAGTGAGGCCTCCTCGGCCCCCGCCCAGCAGAGCTCAGAGGGCCGGGGGCTCCCTGGGGACCCCACCCGTCTGCACTTTCAGCCTTGGCCCCTTGGCCCCTGGGCCGGGGTTTGGGGGTGGCACTGCCCCTCCCCTGATCGCTGGAGCCCTGCCCTCTCCCCGGACTCGGCCCCCGACCCCTGTGCTGAGTGCTGCCCACAGCCCCGTTGTGTGGCTGAGACTGGACGGAACGTCACAGCTGCGGCCGGGAGAGGGCCCGGGTGTCCGGGTGCGGGGCCGGCCCCCAGCCCAGGGGAAGGCGAAGAGCCCCCGGCGTGGGCCTGACTGGGTGGAACCCTGTTCTGGAACAGGCCAGGTGCTGCCCACCGTCTCCTGGCCAGGGGCCTGCGGTCCCTTGTGTCCACCGTGCCCCGCTGGGGGCCCGGGAAGCAGGTGCGTTTCAGCCTGGGCTGGGCGGCCAGAGCCGGGGCGGGCTGGGCTGGACGCCCACCCCTACCCAGAAGCCCCACAGGAGGGGCCTGGCCCAGCCACTCCCCAGCAGGTGGGAGCTTAGCTAGGGCAGGGCCCCCCAGGGCTGCCCCCACCCTACCCCCGGCCCCTCTGAGCCCCATGGCGGGCTGAGCAGTCGCTCCAGACCAGCAGCCTGGACGCTCCCTCCTCACACGCCTTTTCCCACCCCCCCGGGAACCTCCCCACCCCGCGCAGGCTCTCCAGACAGAGCCCGGGTGCAGGCGGCTCTGCCCCCGCCAGCCCGGGGGGCAGACCCGGCTCCACCTCCGTATCCTGGGGGGACGTCCAGCTTCTCGGCCCGAATCCAAGGCTGGCCCCAGCCGAGGAGCCGCAGGGCGCGGCCGGGGGCCGTGACGGCCTGAGAGCGTCCAGCTCCGGCTGGGTCCGGCCGGCGGCCCTGCCCGGGGCCCTGGAGCTGATTGCCAGCGGATGTGGAGTGAAAAGCAAACAGATAAGGTTGTTGGGGCCGAGGGGTTTGGGCCCCCTGGGCTGCCCCCCGCGGGCAGCAGGAGCCAGCTGGCCGGGGTTATCTGGGCGCCTCTTGCCTCCAGGCGAGCAGCGGGGCGGGAGCTGGCGTTGCGTCCCCAGGGCTGGTCGGGGGCTTCGTGGAGGGCAGGACCCTGGGAGCTGGCGGTCGGGGGCGGGGGGGCTGGCCATGGGGGGCTGGGCGCACAAGACCTGCTCGCCCGAGAATCCTCCTCGCCGTCACGGGGGAGGACGTGGGGTCGTCGGGGAGCCCGCAGGGCCCCTGAGGGCCAGAACCCTGGGGGTGGATGGAGGTGTCCTGGGTGGGGGTTGGCGCCAGCCTGGGCGGGCTGCCTCGCAGAGGGAACAGTTCGCTGGCTCTACTAGTGGGTGGGGGCACGCTTGACGGCTTTGGGGCCACAGCCCCCATGGAGAGTTTGGCTTTTCCCCAGAAAAGCCCCAGGTGCTGCCGCCGGACTGGAGTCTCTCTCGGGAATCACGTGCAGGGCCCGTCCCAGGCGATGGGACGGGGCTGTGTCTGGAGGATCCGGGGACACTGGCTTTGGCTGGGCGGGGCCTGCAGAGA